GGGGTGGCTGCGGAGAGGGGGCCACCCATGGCCCTGTCACCCTGCAGGGACATGGCCCCCATGGCTGCTCAGTGCCACCATGCTCCGAGCTGTGGGTTGAGCTGGCGTCACCTTGGGGTAGACCCACAGCCCTGGACAGACGCACGACCCCTGGACAGACCCACATCCCTGCAGGGGATGAAGAAGCTCAGCCCCACCTCCCAGCACAACTTCAGCCCAGTATAACCCAGCATGGCTCAGCAGAGCTCAGTACTGCCCCCACAACTCAGCCCAGCACCACCCAGCATGGCCCATCTCACCCCAGTTCCAGCACAGCCCAACCCATTTCCAGCCTAACACAGCTCAGCATGGCCCAGCACAGCCCATTTTCAGCCTATTTCCAGCCCAGTACAGCCCCTTTCCAGCCCAGCCCCAGAGCTGGGAGGTGCAGAGTCGGGTCCCAGCCCAGCTCCTGCTGTTGTCCCCAGTGTCCCGGGTGCCACAGGAACTCCCTGGCCCCAGTGCTTCCATGGGGTCCCCTGGGGGATCCAGCACCGTGCCAGCCCCCCCAGCTCGGACCTTGGGGAGCAGCCCAGGGACACAGCTCAGCCCTGGCCAGAGAGTCCCAGCTGGGGACAGCTCTGCCAAGGACCGAGGCTGAGGGTCCCCTGGGGAGAGCTGGGGAGGCTGCAGAGTCCGGTCAGCGAGGTGGCGGGAGGGGGGGAGACAGGAGCAGGAGGAGCAATTAAAAACACAGCAGCAGAAAACGAAAGAGCCCTGAGGCCTGGTGTGTGCCCCATGGCCTCGTTGCTCGAGGTCACATATGGGATGGCTTAGGGGTCTTGTAGAGATGGTGGTGGGTCTGGCAGCTGCTGCCCACAGCCCTGCCCAGGGGTGGCCATGGGGCTGAGAAGCTGCCAGCCCCTCCACCCTGTATCCTGCATGGTCCTTCCCAGGGCAGGGGCACCCAGGACCCCGGCGTGGGCAGTGGGATGGGGTCACCATGGGAAAGGCGCCCCCTGAGCCACAGGGTGCTAGGAGGGTATCAGCCGGGCAGGCAGGACAGGGCAGGGCAGGGGTGCCCAGCTCAGCCCCCCGCCCCCGGTGGGACCCACGTCGGCACCACCACCAGACCTCGAGTGGGGACACGGGACGGGGAGCCCTGCCTGACTCCCCCACGTCTGCTGTGCCCTGCCTGTCTCCATCACATCAGGGTGCTGTCTGGGACAGTCCTGCCACAGTGCCCGGGGGGGCTGGTGGGGTCGGGGAAAGGGGATAGGCTCAGCCTTTGGGCTCTGAATTCTGCCCCCGGGGCGGCCAAGTGTCCCCGGCACTGGGGTGACTGTTTAACCCCCCGAGACCTCCCGTCCCGGATGGATGTGGGGGAGCAGCCCGGCCCTCTGACGCGAGCAGGAGCTGTGGGCGTGCGTCTACGAGCAGGATTTGGCCGGGAGCAGCCAAAACCTCCAGCGGGGGCTGGAGGCAGAGCCTGCGGTTCTCGCCAAGACGTGCCGAGCCTCCTGCCCCACTCAGCCTGGGCAGGGGTTGCTGCCCTGCATCCCATGGTGATGTGCCAACCCTCCTTCCCCGCTCAGCCTGGGCAGGGGCCGCTGCCCCCGTCCCACCACCATGCTCACCCCTTTCCGCTGGTTGCTGAGGCAGAAGGTGCAGATGCTGCGGGGCTGTTTGCTGTCCAGGTCGCCCTTGGCCCCGTAGATGGCACTGAAGCAGGGCTGCCCATCCTCACAGCCCTCGCCCAGCAGCAGGACATTGGCCAGGTGGGAGATGTAGCTGGAGGCCAGGCGGAGGGTCTCGATCTTGGACAGCTTCCTATCCACCGGCTCGGTGGGGATGAGGGTCCGCAGGGCGGTGAAGGCCGTGTTGACACTTTGGGTCCGGTCCCGCTCCCGCGCGTTGGCCGCCTGCCTCTGCTTCACCATCACCATTGGCCCCGGTTTCCGCGGCAGCTTGCGGCGGGGCCCCGGCC